GTAGTGTAGGGGCAGGGGGCAGGTGGGGATGACTAATGGATTAAGAAAAAAAAAAATAGAAAGAATGAATAAGGTCTAGTATCTGATATCACAGCATGGTGCCTAAAGCCAGTAATAGTTGAATTGTACATTTTAAAGTACCAAAAAGGATATAATTAGATTTTTTGTAACACACATGACAAATTCTTGAGGGGATGTGATGTGATTAATACACATTACATGCCTGTACCAACATATCTCGTGTGCCCCATAAATATATACACCTACTATGTACTCACATTAAAAGAACTTAGGGGAAGGAACTAGGCTATCTGGCAGTAAAAATAACTAAACAGCAAAACCTTCAAGGTACTGCGTGACTTTGTTCAGCCACTTAGACAAAAATGAGAGAGAAGAGAAATGCTTTAAAGATGGAGTGTGTAAATTAAAAGAGAGAAAGAAGGTAAATATTTTGAAAAATTTCACTCTAGCCATGTAAAGAATGAAAAGGCATGTTTAGGAGTGCAAACTAAAGGCATGGCCAAGTGACCACTTTGCTAATGAGATTACCAGGGATAGAAGGGGAACAGGTGCCACTGAGTAAGACAAAGACCACTGGAGAAAGGCCCTGACAGCATTTCAGAGTTTTTCCAGGCTGCTCCTCCACTCACATGCTCAGAGCAGAGCCCAAAGGCAAAGTTTCCAGAGAGGCACCCACAAGACCTCAGCATCTGCTGCCCGGTGCTGCGTTTAGTGCCTGCTCCCCACACCTTCATGCAGCACTCCTCAGCTGTGCCAGCCATAGTTCAAGGGGACCCAGGTGCTGAACAGGCTGCCGGTCTGGGAGGTTCAAGTGGTGGACCTTGGCAGCATCCAAATGGTGCTAATTCTGCAGGTACACAGCGTTCACAAACTATGGGTCTGTGACAGCCTCCACCTAGATTTCACAGACTGTTGCAGACAGCCTGAGTGCCCATGTAGAGACCTGACACAGGGGCACAGCAGCCAGAGAGAGCCCCAACCAGACCAGTACCTGATAGGGCTGTGGGAACAAGTCAGTCACAGGGAGTCCCAATTCGGGTCACATCTAGTAGAGGCGTGGGAGCTGGACTGATACCAAGATCCCAGAATTGTAGTGCTACCGGCATTTAATGCTACACTGGGAGAGCTGGAGGAACAAGACTCCAACCTGTGAGAGCTGCTGGGTGGACTGAGCCCAGCAAAGCCATAGAGGCATGGCTGCCTGAGAATTTGGGGGCTCAATCCCTGCCCCAGTGTGCCCAGAAGGCAGAACTTGGAGCTAAGAAACATTATTCTCAAGCCTCAAAATGTAATGTTGTTTGCTCTGACGGGTTTTGGACTTTCTTAGCACCAGTTATGCCTTTTCTCTTGCCTATCTCTCCCTCTTGGAATGAGAATATCTATCCTATGCCTGTCCCGCCATTGTATTTTGGGAATGGACAACTTGTTTGATTTCGCAGACTCACAGCTAGGGGAAATTGGCCTCACTCTGGATCCTGCCTTGAGTCTCACCCATCTCTGATGCAGATGAGACTCTGGACTTTGGGTGCTGGAGTGAGTTAAGACTTTGGGGCTATTGGGGTGGAATGAATGTATTTTGCATGTGATAAGGACATAAATTTGAGGGCCAGAGGAAGGATGCAATGGTTGATTTGAATGTGTCCTCAAAAAACCACGTGTTGGAAACTTAATCCCCAGTGCAACACTGTTGAGAGGTTGGGCCTAATGGCAGGTGTTCGGGTTATGAGGGTTGCACCCTCACGAATGGATTAATGCCAATTATAAAAGGGCTTGAGTCTATGAGTTTGATCTCATGCTCTCTCTCACTTGTGCTCTCTAACCTTCCCACCTTCTGTTATTGGATGACACAGCAAGAAGGTTCTCATCACATGCCAGACCCTTCCTTGAACTTCCCAGCCTCCAGAACCGTAAGATAAAAATTGCTGTTCTTTATAAATCACCCAGTGATACAGTTTGGCTCTGTGCCCCCACCCGAGTCTCATCTTGAATCATAATCCTCACGTGTGGAGGGAGGGACCTGGTGGGAAGTGACTAGATCATGGGGGAGGTTTTCCGCATGCTCTTCTCATGATAGTGACAGAGTTCTTGCAAGAGCTGATGGTTTTAAAGTGTGGCGCTTCCTCGCTCTGTCTCTCTGTATCTCTCTCTCTCTCTCTCTCTCTCTCTCTCTCTCTCGACTGCTGCCAGGTAAGAGATGCCTTGCTTCACCTTTGCCTTCTGGCATGATCCTTGGTTTCCTGAGGCCTCCCCAGCCATGCAGAACTGTGAGTCAATTGAATCTCTTCTGTTTATAAATTACCCAGTCTCAGGTAGTATTTTTATAGCAGTGTGAGAACGGACTAATATAGGGAGTCTTGGGTATTCTCCTAAAGCAGCAGAAAATGGACTAAGACAGGTATGTCAGGATTCACTTGGCCCTCATCCTCAGAACAATGGAAAACAGTCAGCCTGGGCCCTCACCACTTACCACCTCTAACTGAAAGTGAACCTGCTGGGTGTCCTGTGGGTTGAAGTGGGAGAGGGTCTCAGAACCCTTCATGCCCTGTGAGGTCCTGAGGCCAAGGATCGGCACTGGCCTATTCGCCCATGGTGTGGCCTGTCGGAAGTGACCTGTCACCACTGTCTTCATATGGTGTTTGTGAGGAGAATCTGTGAGATTTGGAGCTGGGGTTCAGAGAAAATTGAGGGGATCTGTCAAACAAGGCAAGAGTAGGCCACAGACCACATTGTCAGGGTCACATGCACAAGGTGGAGTTTTCAAAATAACTCCTTTCCTGAAGGGCATAGTGGGGAGAGCCCTAGGAGTCAGAAGAGACTCTACTTCCCGTTCTTCGTGCCCCCTGAGTTTGCTACCAACACCCAGGGAGCTGTTTCCAATTGAGTCACCCCTGCAGAGCAAACTATAGTCAGCAGACCTGGAACCCAGGTACTTGTAGCTATAGACATGGGGGAACTCTGAGGGCCTGCTGCTTGCCAAGCTCTGTGTTTGCTGCATTGCATTACATTTTTTTCCTTCATGTGCTCCTCAAACAGGATTCTGATATGCAGAATTACCAGCTTCTTGGCCTGTCTCAGATTGCTGAGATGTAATGAGTTGTAGAAGCTTGTCAGGGTTCATTCAGACGCTACAAGAAATTGCCATCATTGGAACGGAGCTCTATTGGATGGGCACGATTTAACCATACATAGTTTTAATAAACTCTTGCTCATCACATATTCTTAAGGAAGGACAAAGTTACAGAAATATCTGAAAGTAACTGAATGACAGAAAAAAATGTTCAGTCCATCTCAGAGAGAGCATATTAGAGACAGACATGGAAAGTATAAAGGAAATAGGAAACATACTTTAGTGGTCACAGGAATGAGAGTAGAAAAAAATAATCACACCTTTTCCTTTTAAAATATTGAATGTACATAGATGCTATCTGTTTGTCAGAGTCAGACTTCTAACCTCAAAAGTCCCAGGACAGCTCAGTTTGCAAGGAGGAGGGAGTGATAAAAGGGACTGATATGCAGTGCATCAACCAGAAATTTCTATAACTGTCCATGCCTTGACAGCAATCCCTTCTTGTGTCCCTATGCTCCGAGAGAGGACAACCAACCCCTGAGACAGCAGAAGATAAATCTGCACACAAGAGTTTGAGCATTCTAAGGGTTGGAAGTGTAATATACAAATCACACACCTACACAGATAGGTGTAACTCTCAAGTCAAGAGTTGCAATCTTTCTTTTTAAAAAAAAAAAAAAAACATAGAATGAACACTTTTTAAAATAAAAATATATATGTGATTTCTTTGTAAATTTGCTGTTACATATTTTCAAGTGTTTCTCTCAATAAATTTTCCTAATTAAAAAACACTGAGCATTATAAATGTATATTTACAAGATGAAATCATTCTACATCTTCCATCTACATGACCCCATCACTATGACCCATACATATTCAATGTAAAAAGATTGGTGTATATTTTCAGATGTGTTTCTTTTTGGGTAATATGTTTACTTGCCTGCCGTAGTGTGTGTTCTACTGCTGTGAAAGAATGCACAAACTGGGAAATTTATAAAGAAGACAATTTTATTTGGCTCAGTGTTCTGGTGGCTGGGAAGTCTCAAGAGCATGGCACTGGTATCTGGCAAGGGCCACTGAAGGCATTGCATGGTGATAGAGTGTGTGAGACAACGAAAACATGGGGTTCTCACTTAGCTTTTTATCAGGAACTCACTCACTCCCATGATAACTAACACACTCTCACAATAGTGGCATTAATCCATTCATGAGGGCAGAGCCCTCACGACCTAATCTGTTCTGAAAGGTGCTACCTCTCACCATTGTTATGACTGCAATTGAGTTTCCAACACATGAACTTTGAAGGACATATTCAAAGCATAGCACTACCTTAAATATTTTTGTGAGTATTTGTTTGTAGGCTCTTTTTAAAATTTGCAATCACATAAATAATTTACTTCAAATTCGCTTCGTTACTTATTTGTACATCATATTTTCATTTCTTCGATTAAAGTGTGGTTTTGTCACAGGCCAAGTCTCACTAACGCAGGCCCCATATCAACTGTTTCAGTTCTGACTCAGTGGTGAAGTTAAATACGAAAAGCTAAAACAGCCAGTGCCCTTATACAAAGGCTGGAATGCAACAAAGCTCCACCAAGAATTTTGCGTAGGCCTTCCTGGGACTTAAAGCATGACAAGATAATGAAGAAATTGTTAACAGGACCCGTTCAGGATTAAACAAGTTTCATGGGAGGGGTCTGAAGATATTCGCCAGGTTTCCACAAACAAGCTTTATTAGGGACCAAGGGAACTCCCCAAACCTCCATGGCTTATCAGGAGACAAGATAAAGGTAATCACCCCAGCACGGGGACCCATTTAGATTAAGTAAATGTACTGACGCTCCAGAGGAAGATCTTAGTTATACATTAGAAGAAGCTAATCACTTATGTCTTTTGATAAATGCACACTTACACGTAGACATATAGCTTAGAAGGTATATAAGCTCCGGAAAACTTTGTAATTCTGAGTTGGTCTGGCAATAACTTCCAGGCCTTCTCCCTATGAACAATTACAGAAATAAAAACTCCCTTTTCTCCCAGTTCATCTGCATCTCGTTATTGGGCCTCAAGAATAAGCAGCCCAACCCTCGGTTTGGTTCGGGGACAGTTTGGCATGTGTCCAGAGGTTTATTAGAAAAGCATTTTGCTTTATAGGCAAAGTATTTGTTGACATCTTTTGTCCCATTCTCCACTGATTAGCATAAGTCCTTTGTGGTCAAGTGTATTATGATCTAAGTGGGTAATACTGTTTACAACTATTTACTCATGGCTTTTCACACTTTAAAATGTTTTTCCTTCTGGCAGCGCAAAAATTGTTTTAATTTATTCATTGATTTTTTTTTTAATTTAAAAATAAGGCAACTCGTGGTGGAAAACATAAAACTGAGTATTGATGTTGTATCAACTACTCAACCACTGGAGATTCCAGCCTTCAAAGCCTTGAAGGCTTCAGAACACAAGGAAAAAAAGCTTTAGATCTAATTCTACACTTGTGAATAATGGGGTTAATTGAATGCATGTTTGGCTTAAAAGTGATACCATGTCTAGTGCCTCTAGCTTAAAGTAATTCGGTAAATGTTTATTTCCTTCCCTCCTTGGAGGTCATTTTTTCCTGTGCTTCTGCCTGAACTCCACACACCACCAATCCATGTGTCCCTATATCCAAGCCTCTGGACCTAGGGGGCAGGATTTCATCTCCACCATGATCTTCACCATCAAGTGAGGGGGATTTATGTGTAACTTTCGGGCATGATGTAGACACCAGGGTCCTTAAAACTAGACCTGTGGCCCTGGAAAAGCTTTTTAAATATGTTACAAATAGAAGAAAACCTAGGCAATGCCACTCAGGACGTAGGCATAGGCAAGGACTTCATGACTAAGACACCAAAAGCAACGAAATAAAGGCCATAATAGACAAATGGGATGTAATTAAACTTAACAGCCTCTGCACAGCAAAAGAAACTATCACTAGAGTGAACCGGCAACCAACAGAATGGGAAAAAATTTTTGCAATCTACCCATCTGACAAAGGGCTAATATCCAGCATCTACAAAGAACTTAAACAAATCTACAAGAAAAAAATTTAAAAAGCCCACCAAGAAGTGGGCAAAGTATATGAGCAGACACTTTTCGAAAGAAGACATTTATGCAGCTAACAAACATATGAAGAAATGCTCATCATCACTGGTCATTAGAGAATTGGAAATCAAAACCGCATTGAGATACCAACTCACGCCAGTTAGAATGGCGATCATTAAAAAATCTGGAGACAACAGATGCTGGAGAGGATGTGGAGAAATAGGAACACGTTTGCACCGTTGGTGGGAGTGTAAATTACTTCAACCATTGTGGAAGACAGTGTGGCGATTCCTCAAGGACCTAGAAATAGAAATACCATTTGACCCAGCAACCCCATTACTGGGTATATGCCCAAAGGATTATCAACCGTTCTATTATAAAGACACACGCACATGTATGTTCACTGAGGCACTGTTTACAATAGCGAAGACTTAGAACCAACCCAAATGTCCATCAGTGATAGACTGGATAAACAAATGGTTTCTTTTTTCACAAATGCTGAAAGAATGTAAAGTGCAGTCCTGATGAAATCTCCTTACTCAGGAATTATCTTCTTTATTGTGTCACAGATGACTATGATAGTGACCCTGCTCTGCACTCGCTGAAACTAAAGCTCCTGCCACTGCACTAAGACACTTAGTTTGTGCCTCCCCTCCCTTACACACTCTGCTGAGGGGGCTAGTGGCTATTACAGGGTTGGGGCCACAGCAAAGATAGCACAAATGTAATTTTAATTGAGATAGTGAAATGTTTTCTGTAGTCTGGAACTAAATGAATTATACATAAGAAAAGTCACGATCAGTACCCTACTCAGCAATAATCACCATGTGGCTGGTTCCTGAGAAGCTGTAGTATACAGGGACAACCTCAAGTGTGCAGGGAAAAGCTTGTGGAAGAGCCAAGGGACATATATAAAGTCAACAACCTGCTTCTGTGTGAATAAAACTTGTTATGTGATCTCCTTCCATCTTTGTGAAACCTTTCACAATCGGTATTACCACTGTCCTACCTACAAGGAGGGGAAAAGTTAGAGCTGATTAATAACTTGCCATAGGGCATGATACTAGGAAAGAGAGAGAGAGAGAGAGAGAGAGAGAGAGAGAGAGGAGAGAGAGAGAGAGAGAGAGAGAGAAAAGAGAGAGAGAGAGAGAAGAGAGAGAGAGAGAGAGACAAAAGAGAGAGAGAGAGAGAGAGAGAGAGAGAGAGAGAGAGAAGAGAGAGAGAGAGAAAGCAGAGAGAGCAGTGACTTAAATACTGGACTTACCCTAAAGTCCAAGCTGTTTTGTACTGGCTCCTGGAGCCACCACTGCCGGGGCTGCCGTTTAACACTGATCAATCCAGAGGCTGGAGTTCTAAGACCTCCAGACATTCTTCATTAACTCTTAAGACATAAAACCATATTACTTCTTTAATCATAAAAATCTATTATAATTAAAAAAATAAATGACTTGCAAAAAAATAAAAGACATATGAAAAAAATTGGGAAGATAGCTTGGCAAATATATCTCGGATGAGAGATTGACATCCTTGATACACAAATAACTTTACAGAAGAATGAGAAAATGATGTCAACCTGGAATTCTCATGAAGACCAACAAATATGCCAAATAAAATGCCATGAAAATGTTCCAAGTTACAGTAACTACAGAAGTTGTAATGCAAAACTTGAGATAACGTATTAAATGAAAAGATAAATTTTCAGAGTGCAAAGGCGGGACACCGAATACACTTTGTTTTTTTGTTTTGTTTTGTTTTGTTTTGTTTTGTTTTTGTTGTTGTTGTTGTTGTTTTCCCTATGGGAAGGGTGTTAGGAAACAGGTTCTTCTTGCGTACTGTGGGTTTTCATGTCAAACTTTTATAATTTTAAGCTTCACTTGGCAGAATCCCTTAAAGTTTAAGATGTTTATACCATTTGTATGAAATTTAAAATGTTTATGCCCTTGGTGTAGAGAAAGCCCCAGGGAGCTGATGAAGGCCCAGCATAATATGGGCCCCTTTTGAATTTCTCCTTATGGTCAATATCCCTGCCCCCACCCCCCAACCCATTGACCCTGCTGCTCAGGGTTAGGGGTTAAACATTTTCCCAGTGTGCTGATGAGAAATTCTGTGTGGAAGTCCCCACAGAGAGGCTGATCCTCAGACATGCCGACATGGCTCCATACTTGTGTATTCCTTTACACCAGAGCCTCTGGCCTCACAAACCTCTTCCCTGGTGATTTTTCTGAATTTGCAGTTTACTCCACACTTAGGGCCCCAGTGGAGTTTGTAGTCAGCAATGGCTGCAGCCTTATCTCCTTGTGTGCAAACTGACTCTGCTCTGAACTCGCTGAAACTAAAGCTCCTGTCACTGCACTAAGATGCTTAGTTTATGCCTCCCCTGCAGACACACAAAGTCACAGATAGAGAGGCAGACATGAGAGACAAGGGAGTTCATGCTTGGTGAAGATGGAGGTGTGTTAATAGTGGTCCATATACGTGTTGGAGGGCCCTAGTCGTCATACATTTCACAGATCACAGCCTGCATGGGGTGATGGGTACTAAGACTCACCCTGTGCCACACAGAGCTGTAAAGAAGAGTTTGGGGCTCAGGAGAGAAGAGCGGGCTGGGAAATTAGGCTAGTGCTGGCACTTTAGACTATGGCCTGGCACTTTAGACGATGAGGTTTGTTAAAGCTGTTAACATTTCCATATGCTCTACCTTGAATTCTGGAAAGAGTGAGCCACTGGCTCTTCTGCCTGAAGGTGCAGGTGCCATTTGATTGTGAAAACTTGAAGGGAATTTAGCTGACAGAGTTACAATAAAGCCTTTCAGGCAAAGATCTGTCTGAATCCTTAGGGAATTGAAACAAACAACTAACAGAAACATAGTTCAGACTTACTCTGTCTTTGAAATATGTGACCTATGTTCCTTGCCACGTAGGCCCCGCCAAAAGCTGCTTGAGTGTCCTTACAACATGGCAGCTAAAGCCTCCAGAACAGGGGGTGAGAGCGAGAGTGGCAGGCCGTGGCCAGTCTCTAAAGTTGCACACGGTCATTTCTACTCGTTTTTCTACATTTATCCCCACTTCCTAAGAGCAATCCAATCCAGAGCAAATCTTGACTTCCTTGAACGCTCCACAAAAATCAGTTAACACAAGCCAAAATCCTAAAATAAGTCATCTCTAACACCCTCTTATTGGGAGACCCCATGGGTCTCCCCGGTTTACGTTCTTCCTCACTGCAATGAGTCAAAAGCCCAAGTATGTTTGGCTCCAGGTGTGCTCCTGGTGATCTTTTGGCTAGAGAACACTGCCAGTGGCATGGTCCAAAACTGGCTGGCCACCCAGGGGTGGCCATGCAGAGCTTCCTAAGCCTCGTCACTCCTTGTTTCCACAGTATCTGGGCTCCACGCTGGTCAAAAAATTCTGTGAGGGACAACGTCCACTGTAGATGCCTGTACCAAGCTGCGGGTAGATTATCTGTGGAACAGTGAGGAGTGTGAGGTGTAAGTAAGAGCTGATTAGGACGCAGGGCAGCAAATGGCAGCCACAGCCAGGAGGCTCCAGCTACAGCTCCTCTGCTCATTTCCCCAGGGCCTGGCGCACTCTGCTTAGGGATATGGTGGCAGGGAGGCTGAGACTATGGAATTTGTGAGGGCTTAGCTCTGGGAGGAGGCATTATTCCCCGTATGTTGCCTCTCTTCCTGCCCATCATGTACCAAGGCATCAAGCTGATAAACACCTCCAACAGGGGGTGCTTCTCACAAGGAGCCTCTGTGGGGAATGAGCCCAGAAGCAGTTATAGGAACTCCGGAGGGGAGTAGACTTCAGGCCCTCTTCCATCCCTCATCTCCAACTAACTTTTGTGCCTTCCCTCAGAACACCTCTGGGTCCTGTGTATTACTCTGCACTCCTAACAGCTTGTTCCAGAACTTGCCTCTGAACTGACCCCCTTACCCCTGGGGTTCCTGCCAATAACTCCTGCCCTCAGCCCTAGTGCATAACGGCTGCTGGTCTTTGCAAATATGGATTCCATTTGTCCTAGTGGTCTGCTCGTGAGGCTTTAATGGCATCATTCCCTTAATGATCTCAGAATTCCCCTCCATGCAGCACTCCTTATGATCCCACCCTCCTGTAACCCCCATGTTAAACAAAGCCAGTGGTTGGATATAAACCCTTCACCCCTTCAGTGGCCACATCCAAGAGCAGGAACTTCAAACTTGGATCACGCAAGGTTAGAGACTGTTCCTCAACCCCATCAAAATAAACTAAAGTGGGAAGAAGTGGTGTCTGGGTGTTCTTAGCACCCTAACCTGCATCATGGAAAGGTGGCGATTTAACTGTGGGAGGGCGCACTTTCTAAGGGTTGAGGAGGGAGGTGATAAAGGTATGCCCTTAGGGAAACCAGTAGTCACGGAATCCCAGGACACTGCTTGCTCCCCAGGAGAATGTCACTGTTGAGCAGGGTATCTGCAGGCTGGACTCATCACCAGCACTCTGCCAGCACCTTGTTGGCACTTAGCAATTGCTTGACGTGCACATGAAGTCTTAGCTATCACTCAGTCTGTATCACTGTAATCCGCAGTGTATTAGTTTGCTAGGAGTGCCATAACAAAGTAGCACAGACTGGACGGCTTAAACAACAGAAACTAATTTTCCCACAGTTCCAGAGGCCAGAATTCCAACACACGGTACCGGTAGGTTTGGTTTCTTCTGCGGCCTCTCACCTTCACTTGCAGATGGCTGCCTGCTGTTTTGCCGCCTCTTCACCTGCTAGTCCCTGTGTGTGGGTGCATCCCTACTATCTCT